CTCGGGCCAAGACTCGTGTGTGCCATATCAAGTTTCCCCCGTGTCAACTTTGGAGCCCAGTCGCACAGTGGGCCGAAAATAGCGGAAATGAGTCTAAGACCAAATGCAGCAAAAATTGCTTCTAGAATTAGTTTAATTTTTGATTGCTGTGGCTTCTATTGCTTCTATTGTAGTATCTAATAAAAGCAAATTTTAGTGAACAATCGATATCAAGTCAAGTCTATCGATAGGCAGGAGAGGGAAGTGCGATCTCTCGATCTCTCGAGCTAGATTGTGAAATTTAAAAACGAATAAAGAGATTGTTAAATAAAGACATTACAAAATGTACTAATCCTAAAGCTATCATAGATCCCGAGTTCTTATATATAAGTGAACAAATCACGACTTTATCGGAAAAAACTCTTCGACTCGATTAACGATAATAATAGAATATGTATAAAACGAAATATATTGAGAATCGTTAAATAATTAGACATAAAAAAGTGTGCAGATTAGGATCAGGATTTGTTTAAAATTACTTTAATTATTTCAATTTAATTTTGATTAATTATCTGGAGGATATTTTCAGACTAGCTCTGACAGTTTCTGAGTTTCTTGAGAGTAAAAGTGATTGCAAATTATATATGTATTATATTCCTTACTTTGCCTTTTGCTAGCTATCAAAAATTTAAACGCTGCGCTTTTAAAACTGGTTTTATTTTGCCTAAAATGTTGCTATATTTTAACTACAATCATTCAGAAATGGGCAGTTTCGTAGGTTTTTTAAGAAACCGTAGTCTAAACACAAAAAAATAATATGTAATATAAAATATAATAATATTTTCGTATGTCTTAATATGCAGTTAAAAGCTAGCAACTTTACTTTTAGCCTTCGCTTGAGACATGAGTACAAACGTGAATAATAGACAGAGATTCGAACCAGCGTCCTTCATGCTCAGTTGCCTGAAGAACTAGATTACTCGGACAACTCAACAACTTGACGCTCTTTTAGCTTCAAGACGTCTTAGGACATTGATAGGTCGGATTCTGGACAATTTGCAAGCAAACATAGTTGTTGATTTCATCACAGTGCGCATGCATTTTGTACCACTGTGCGACTGTGGTTGCCACCGTCGTCGTTGTGGTTGTCATTAGTCCGCTGCACTTGCTGTTGTAATTGTGACAGGAGCAACGAGCACGGATCGCCAAAAGGCCTGTGCAGCGCTCAGCACTGGCGGCGTGACGGCGTGACGGGGTGACGGGTTGGGCTCTGGCAGGGCCACTGACAAGCGAGGGGAGGGGGAATGTAAGGAGGGGGAGGGGGGAGGCAGGGTTATTGTTGGCTGGCAGCCGTGATCGTGAGTGCCAGAAGCTGATTTCAGCGCGGCTACCGATAAGCGTCAGCGTCAGCGGCAGCGGCAACGGCAACGGCGACTGCGCGACTGACAGACGCGTTGATTGGTTTTGCTTGCTAAAGAAGAGGTAGTCTGACGGAGGGAGGGGGAAGGAGGGGGGGGGGGGTAGCCGGTATAGAGATATGTAAATTGCATGAGAGCTTTGCGTAAAAACTGGTACAATTTTCGGTGGCCTTTTTTTTTTGTTTTTAGGCACATTTTTCAGTTGTTGTTGTCGACTTCTCCTTTATTGTTGTTGTTGTTGTTGTTGTTGTTGATTATATTTTGTTGATAGTCACAGCGGCCACGCCCCGCCCCAGGCGGTGCGCCCTGCGCCCTTGTTTGTAGCTGCATTTGACAACTTTTTGCATAATTACAGAGCCACAAGCGGCCCGCGCCTGTCAAGACGGTGCCCTTAGGGGGGCAAAAGGAACAGGGGGGGGCAAGCAAGGAGTTAAGCAAGCGGGAAGCAGTCGAGCCGCTTCTTTGGCTGGCTGCTTGACGGCTTTGAGGGCCATTCATAAATTTGGCAGAGCAACTCATAAATTTACTATCGATATATTGCGATATATCGATAACGATTTAAGCCCCCAAAAAGGTGTTGGCCATACAATCACACGCCTTTGACAGTGAGAAGGGGTGGACAGGAAAGCGGTGGGGGGGGGGGGAGGCGCGGTGACTTCCTCGAGTGCCGCACATTGATTTAATGCAACGCGAAAACAAATTGTTATGTTTTGTTGCTGCAACGTTGCCCGCAATTAATCAAAGTTCTCGCATTACAATTAATCAAAATGAATTTCGCACTGGCCACTGCGCATCGATGTCGTCTCTGGCTGGAGGAGATGCCCAGTTGCGGCTCCGTTAGCCACTGGCCATAAATATCACCGCGAATGTGGCCAAATAGAATTGACGGCGGCGGCGGCGTCAAAATGCGCACCTTAGAAGTCACAACAGCCGCTGACAGCCGCACATAAATCAGCTGAGGCCAACGAACAAGCTCTGCGCGTAAAAGGAGCCCATTCCGAGTGGGCGTCAGCTTCGGGCATTGGGCAGCATTCAGCTTCTGGGCGCGGCATTTGCGCTTTTATGTGCACATCAGGCGGCAATTTGATGGCCATGAACAATTGACAGCCGGTGTCAAACATTTCATCATCGAATCGAGAGCAGCAAAAACAACAACAAAAAAAACAAGAGAGAGGGGGAGAGAAAGGGGTAGGGTGGAAAGGTGAAGCAAGACTATGGGACAAGCATTAGAAACAAAGTATTCTTTAACATTTACACGAGCATATTCCATGCAATTGACTGGCAGTTAAATTAACAGGCAGATTTTGAATTTTGAAAGAGACAACTTGGCTTTCATTAAGTCGTATTTGAAATGTGATCAGCGCTATTCGTAAGTGATCCACATTGATCTTTCAGAGAGCGACGAAATGTCTTTAGATCATTCAAAATCTTGAAATGTGAAAGGAAAATTGGATTATAGCAACATGAATATATGTGTTCTATACCCTGAACTCATTGAAAATTAGTAAAAGGGGTAAATGTAATAAGCATCTGCGTATAACATATTTATCCTTGATCAGCATCAATAGCCGAGCTCATCTAGCCATGTCTGTCTGTCTGTCTGTCTGCCTGTCCATCCGTGTAGATGTATGTATGAACGCGTCCATCTCACAACCTATAAAAACTAGAGACTTGAAGTTTGGAACGTAGGTCCACCTAGTGCCCTAGTTTAATTCCGATAATCGAAAACTTTCCTCGTTTCCAGGCAATCGATAGAAATCGTTATTAATTGGGTTTTAAGAGCTAGAGTCACCAAATTTGACATGTAGCTTCTAGAATAATATAAACAGGTCAAATATCTTTCATTGTATAGCTATTCCGAAGCCACTCGCCCCTTTTCCTGACCTAGAGCTGCATTTGGTATTTGTAGAAGAAGGTTCGTTGTATCCTCAATTACACAATACTCAGCTTAACCAAAGCCAGCTTAACATATACTTATATAGTCCATAACAAATTAAATGATTCTCAAATCTTGAACTTTCTCAAAGTAAGAGCTTCGAGAGATTTCAGTTCTCAGTTGATTGATCTGGATTCAATTCATCCCATTTTAAAGTTTCTTCCCTTTGATCAATTACAGTCCAGCAATAATCTACTTCTTAAATATAGTTAGAGAAGTGTTTTTTGATTTTTTGATCGATTAACTTTAAATGCTTAAATAAAGATCGCTCAGCAATTGACGCTTTAGGAAATATAAACAAATAATTATTACATACATGTATTTTTATATATACATTTATATTATATTTTTCTGTAAATATATATTTTTTAAAAATCCCATTAAATTGGCCTCTAGAAATAAGTTCAATTTAAATATGGTTATATTAATAATTAGATACATCTATTTTGTGTACTTTTTGTAATCAAAGTAGTTCACATTTCGAGCACATTTTCGTGGTCAACAATTATGAACTCCACGGCAGGCATACCCTAAATTGTGAGCGCTCTTCGGTTGAAAAAAAAAAACTTTCGCTTGCACAGCAAAACTCGAGATGACACAGTCGAAATGTGATTAACATAAAACTTATGCAAAGTGCAGCGGCAGTAATGAAAACAACAACAACAAAAGCAACAACAACAACAAAAACAACCGCAGCAACAATAAGGGTAAAATCTACAACAAATACCTGGAAGCTCGACCTTGGCTTGGGGCGCGTCAAAAATCGTACCGCCAAGTGTCTGAAAGTTGGCGGAGCAAAAAAAAAACAGGGAAGCCAACAACAAAGTGGAACTGCGAATATTCGAATGATCGTCGCGTCTGGCGAAAAGGAGTTCCAGGAGCCGCTTGCAGAAGTGTGCGAAAACACCAAAAAAAAAAAAACAAAAAAACAGAAAAAAAAGATGGGAAAAAAATGAAATAATAATAATAAAAAAAGGAAGCGAAATGATGATGCGATGTCAAGTTATTGACAGGCCCAAGTCGATATTAATGACGACTTCATTCGCGGGAATATCGCGCCAGTTGCTGCCAGTTGTTGTGAATGCATTTTGGATTCATATGCGATTCGTTTGGGTATTCGTTTCGTTTCGATTCGTTTCGATTCGTTTCGTTTTGTTGCTGGCCGTGTCTTACTAGCAATTATTACGAGAGCGCTGCGGCAAATATTATTCAACTAGTTAGGCGCGATCCGGCGTCCAGGCAGGCGGCTCAATTATCCGCCAAAGGCTGCCCCCCCCCCCCCCTACCCCCTCCCCACACCCCACCCGAATGTCAGTTCTCCACGGCCGGCGGTGTTTTCCAGGTCGCAGTCCCATATTTAAGCCAACATGTCAACATAATTTATATTAAATTTTTGTGTCAGATAATGATAGCGCCTGCTGCCGATCGCTAAATATATCTGCATGCTGCCTTGCTGCCTTGCTGCCCTGCCGCATGTTGTTTTCGACCTGTCTCCATCTCAGTCTCACCTCAGCCGCAAAAGGCTTAAAGCTCCACTATACAACAACAACAACAACAACAACAACAAAAGGCTTTGACATCGGTGGCGGCATCCACAGTTGTTGATTATGTACCCTCACCGTTGGATACAAAAGTTATGTGAGCTGCCTTGTCGCAGTTGATGCAAGTTACTTTTTCATCGAAATACTAATATATCTGATTGTATCTCAGGAATGCGCAACGTTATTACCCTGATTTAACTGTTTATCTATAGAAAGGCTAGCCCGGAGTAAGCATTCCAAATTTCAGAAATGGAACTGTCAGATTTCTCGAGCTACGGCTTTGGATTAACTGAGTCAACTAATCCGAATTAAGCTTAAATTGAATAAATATGTTGAGATATCTGTTCCGAAAAATTCTATATAAAACTTACTCCATATACATGTTAAGAGACCTGGAATTCATTTCTTCCATCCAACCAAATCTTCCACATACCAAAGTATATTCCGAGCCAGCCAAGTAAGTTCTCATACTTAAGAGTCTAGTTTTTCTTCTTCTTTTAAGTTGAACATGCATTAAGTTAAAGGTTAATAAGTAGATTAATTAACTATTATTGATTCTAATCAGTTATCAAATCTATAAATTTAATTTATTTAGCTCCATTTTTAGTCTGAACCAGTTGTTTTTTGAAGCCTTTGTATATAGTATATACTTTTTAACCCAAAATGTTTTAATTTTTAAATTGATCTTATATCAAGGATCAAACCATCAGATTATGTACCAAATCTTGTTCAAGTCACGAGCTTGAACCTTCTGCGAACCGGTTCAGTGACTTGTAAAATATTAAAGTCAATTTCTCTTGCTCTAATTTTAAAACAAAATAAGTGTAACATTAAACTCAAACTTAGGAAAAGCAAATGCAACATTTCTACTACCGCAGCTCTTTTGGTTATAGCTCCGCAAAACTTCTGAACTGGTTCATTTGGCTTTAAGCTTAAAATATGCCAAAGCTAGAGCATGTGCTGCTATTAATACTTCAAGCTTTTATTCAATTGAACTGTAAGCCTTAAATAAAGCAAATTTTGGCATTGTCTGCCCAGAGCTCTGCCATGTGTTTGCGCCAAAAAAGTTATGAACTAGTTCATATGTCTAAGCTTCAGCTATGAAAAAGTTAAAGCATTCACGCGTTTTGGTTTTCAATTGAGAATTATATTGAACTACACATCTACAACATTTAAGTCATGTCTAAGTTATTTTCTGAAGTCTGAGTCTGAACTACTAATGAACTAGTTCTTATGTGCTAAAGTTTTATTTGGAGCATACAAGAGTTTTACTTTTATATAAAATACAAAAGTTGAATATTGTGTGATTGGAATTCGATCGTCTGAACCACTTTTGAACTGGTTCTTGTGAGCTAAAGCCTCAGCTATATAGAATGTAGAGTAATCTGGTGCTTGAGGTCTTAATATATTTGCTCTCAAAACGATTTAAGGACTTTAAAGCTTAAAGCTTAAGCCAATTGCAGAGCATTCGGTTGTCGGCAATGCCCGGCGAACCGTTATTGTGGCCTGTTCAGGCGGCATTAAGCGTGCCGAAACGCAAAGCGAGCCGGGCCGCGGTTAACGTTCGAATGGAACGCGAAACGTTAAAAATAATTCACAATTTATATGAACGATGCGAGCGACGAGCACGCAAACTGGGGGCAGAAAAACAAAAGAAGAGGAAGAAAACGATGAAGATGAAAAAGACAAAAACAAAACAGAATATACTCCACATAAAATCGAGATCCCTTCAACCCAGAGCGAATTTCTATTGCATCAACAAAGATGCCACGGATCGAGAATCGAATCAGTGCAAAGTAATTCGCAAATCAGTTCTGGGTCAGCTACGGGTCAGCTCCGGGTCAGCTCTGGTTAGCCGAACATCTGGACCTGGTTCCTGGCCCATGCAATGCTATGCAATGTCCCGCTGCTGCTGCAACGAAGTGTTAAATGAGGCACAGCGTGCGCCTGGGCCGGTCCATTGGGCCATTGAGGCTGAGGTGTCCAATGTCAAAGGCTTTGACACGGTTTTGTGCCGGCGGGCAACCAGCAGAGCCGCACCGGGCATAAAAGATCAGCGCTCTCGCAGCGTTTGTTAACAATTGGGCATCGGAGCATTCAGTCCAAATGCTAAATGCTTTCGAGTACGTTTCGGGACGCTGTCCTTGTGACAACGGGTGCCCCAGACGTTGGCCATAAAGGACAACATGGCATTAGAAGTGTTAATAGTTAACTGCACCCGGTCAGACCTTGAGAGCCGCACGATACTCTGCTCAAATGAATAGTTTCCCAGCTCTAGGATCTCTAAAAGCAGCGGCTATTAGAAGGTAGAGGGGGGTAGAGGGGGGGGGGGGGCAGACGGGGAGCAGCAGCCAGCAACTGCTCCAAAGTGCGGGCACACGAACAAGCGAGCAACCGGTTCGCAGCCGGCACGCGACAGCAACAGAGACAAATGCGAGTGAGAGAGAGTGAGAAAGAGAGAGAAACAGAGACAGAGAGAGTGAGCGAAATAAAGCTAAAGAGCGGCAGCCAGTCAATGGACACAGACATATAATCAAAGGCAGCTGCTCCAAAAACCAAAAGAAAAAAAAGGAAACCGACTAAAAAAAACTCTTCCCAGTCTGGCAGAAGAAAATGCTCAAGACTCTTCCCAGCTCAACAGAGAAACAGAGCGGAAGAGAGAGAGAGCGGGAGAGAGAGTGAGTGAGAGAGAGAATTGAGCGAGTGAGTGAAACTCTCGAGTGAGTGAGCCCCTCTTTGTGAGTGAATGATCCTTGAGCGGATGCTGCTCGTGTTGGTTGGCTGCGCGTTTGCACCTTTTGTCTGGAACACAGGTAGCTGCTGCCGCTGCTGCTGCTGCGGCTGCTGCTGCGGCTGCTGCTGCGGCTGCTGCTGCGGCTGCTGCAACAACGGCAGGTGAGAATTGTGCCTACGATGCGCCCTATAAATAGCGCGCACGGCGCAGGGAAGGGCATCAGAACAGCGACAGCGCTCGCAGGGCCAACTCCAAGTCCAGAATAATCCAAACCAAACCAAACCAAAAACAAGTAAAAATCAATTATCAACTACAAAATGGCACTGGGCAGCGAGAATCAAAGCCATAGTCTCTATCATCAGCAACGTCTGGCGCCCTATGCCAAGCCGAGCAGCAGCAGCAGCAGCAGCAGCGGCAGCGGCAACAGCTATGTGCAGCAGCAGCAACAGTTGCTGCTGTCGGAGCAACATCAGCCCATGTTGCTGGGCGGGCAATCGGTGGTGCGTCGCAATGCCCGGGAACGCAATCGCGTCAAACAGGTGAACAATGGCTTCAGCCAGCTGCGGCAGCATATACCCGTCGCCATCATTGCGGATCTGAGCAATGGCAGGCGCGGCATCGGACCCGGCGCCAACAAGAAGCTCAGCAAGGTCAGCACGCTGCGCATGGCCGTGGAGTATATCAGGCGGCTGCAGCGGCTCATCGACGACAACGATCAGCAGCAGCAGCAGCAGCAACAGCAGCAGCAACAGTTGCTGTCGCCGGAGCAGCAGCTGGCACAGCAGCAACAGTTCAGCTACCAGCAGCAACAGTTGCAGCAGCAGCAACAGCAATTCTATGCGCTGCAGCAGCAACTGCAACTCATCTCGCCCGGCGGCAGCAGCTGCAGCTCCGACGCCTCCAACGCCTCCAATTCCTCCGCCTCCAGCAGCAGCAATTACTATGCGACGCAGCCAACCGAACTGAAGCTGGAGTCCAGCGCCGGCAGCTATGAAGATTATCCTAATAATTCGTGCAGCTCGGGCGCCGAGGATGATGACATACTCGACTACATCTCCTTGTGGCAGGACGACATCTGAGTGCCGTCCCCAACCCAGCCCTACCCATTCCCTGGGCAGCCAACTAGTCAGACCCAAACGCAACGCACGCCTGGCATAAAGTATTACCTCAGCAAAAGAAAGTATTTATTCTAGTTTAAGCGCATTTTTTTTTTTACTCTCGTATTATTATTTTTTTTTGCAAGATTTTTGTACAAATTAGTGTTAAGTGCGCTGAATGTGCCTGCTTTTTATATAGTTTATAAGACTGCCTACATTTAAGAACTAGCTTAACATGGAAGACAATTAGTTTTAAGAAATTTTTTTTTTAACGAGAACAAAAAACAAACATGGAGGACACTAAACTGATAAATATATTAAAAACAAATTTTAAAACACAACTATAAATTTGTATTATTGGGAGAAAACAAAAACGAGATTTGGGAAAGGAGAAGATGGATTGAATGGGAAGTATTAAACAAAATAATTGAAGAATACGAGAAAGCAATTGAAGATAAAACAGAAGAATGTCTGTAGAAGTCTGTAGAGAATAGTGAAGCTGCGTTTAAGGAAATATCTTGGTATACAGAATATTTTGCCATATAAGCAACTAATTTTCGATGAATCTATTTTATGACAGCTATATCATATAGTGGCCCGATGCTGATAAGAAAAGGTTTCAACACCAGAACCTACTTTTCGACCGATGACAGCTATGTGATATAGTGGTCCGATGCGGCCAATTACAACTATGTACTACAACTGAGAGACGGACCTATACAAGGTAACAAGACGAAAGCTTTAAAACTGAGAGACTAGTTCGCATAGAAACAGACGGACAGAGGGACATGTCTATATCAACTCGGCTGTTGTAGCTGATCTATATATACTTAATGGGGTCGAAGGTGTTTCCTCCTACGCGTTACACATTTCGAGACAAAATAATAATAACCTCTACATTATATATGTATGAGTGCTCCTTGAAGCAAATGTATTTAACAGCCAGAAGAAAGCATCTCCGAGCCCATTAAAGGTATATATTTTCGATCTAGCCATGTTCATCGCTTAGGGAGACAACAAATGCTGTCATCTTCTATAAATATTCTCCAACTACATTAACAAAACGAACTAATTAAGTCGATACTTCTTTTCATTTTTATAATATCGAGGTTGAGACAAGGGTATTCAAGCATAACTCGAGGATTTTAAGAGTTATTTAGATGAAACTTGGTAAGTATTTTCGTATTTAGAGGAATATATTAGCTTTTGAATAACTCTTCCCATTCGAAACAAATGGGCAAACGAAACTAAATATAAAAGGTAGAGCCTTGCGACTTGGTTTGTGCAGATATTTGTGTAACCCTGTGAGGCACCGGAAATTTCATACGAATCGGACTGTGAATATCGAAGTTACCCGAGATTGCATTTGGCAAACATAGTGTGGGTCTACGGGAAGAAGAAGCACAGCCGCTGCTTAAAGTAGAGTATATATGTCTATTTGTGCGAAAGTAAGTTCCGATTTGATGAATCGTCAACTTGGCGTTGGGTTCAGGGTATCTACCAGTCGAGCACTGCCGACTAGAGCACTCTTCTTCGTCTCAAGCTTTAGTTGGTTTTGCAGAATCACAATTTTATGTTAATCTTAAGGTACGTCGAGTCTTTAATCTGTTTCCGAACTAACCGGCGAGCACTAACTGCCGCGTATACCGTTACGCGCTTCTACTTGCGACAAATTGTGGCAGAGAAATTATGCAAACGATTTTGTTGGTCGCTCGTGTAAGCTGTGAGCAGTGAGAAGCGCGGCAAGCAGAGAAGTTCGAGTTATTTGGCGCATTTTTGCATATGGAAAAGGCAGAGCCATTGCATCGAATGCCGCCAATTCCGAGCGATCGATCGATCGATTGTCCCAAAAGCTGCTTGCCAATTGAACTAATTTTGAGATATGCGCAAAATGCAGGACAACAACAATAAGTCGGCAATTCACAGATCGCCCCCGACAAAATACTGAAAGGCTGAAAAGTCTGAGACCAAGCCCAAAGAATGGCAACCGGGCAGGGGGAATTGTGCTTGCGATTTGGGGCTGCGTCTGTATCTGGGGGGGGGGAAGGAGAGACTGGAACGGAAGCTGCCGCTGCGACGGGGCGATGCAATGCGATTCGCGATGCTTCACTGAGATAAGCGAAAACAACGAACAACCAACAACAACCAACAACGACGACAACAACAAATGGGCCGCAGCAACGACAATGGGAATATATCTGACCCTGTCCTGGCCCGGCGGATGCGCCAGTTCTAGTCATGGGCTTCATCCGCTTCAAGAACTTTTGAGCTACAGAAACAAAAAAAAAAAAAAGACTCCCACGCGCATTTCCGGTCTAGTCAGTGCTTCCTCTCTGTGTACCTCTCGCTCTCGCTCCCGCTCCCTCTCCCCATCTCCCTCTCTCTCTCTCTCTCAGTCTGTCTGCGACTCCCATTAATAGATAAATGAATTGGCGTACGCATTTCCGTCACTTGCAGGGTCAATGGGGAGCTGGAGAGGGAGGCCTTTGGGGCCGTCGTTTTGTTTTAATGCCAATTTCGCGAGTTGTTGCTGTTCTTCCTCTTGTTGTTGTTGTTGTTGGGGTCTTGTTGCAATCAATTCGCAACGCAGCCAGCAGCAAAACGAACGGTTTTGCAGTCTTGGCAACTCAAGCTTTCAGCTTCAACCTCAGCTTCAGCTTCAGCTTTAGCTACAGATATTTCTTTTTTTTTTTTTTGGGGCCGCATCTTCATGGCGCATTTATCGAATTATTATTTCCGGTTTTTCTTTTTGCAATGCCCTGTTCCCATTCAAAACAGCTAAAAGAAAGCAAAAAGGAATATAACAAAGTGCAAATGCTTGTTAAAGGTAAAGAGTACCTATTAAATACATGTATGCATCAAATATACATACATACATATAAAACATATTTATGTGTGTGTATATATATAAGATGTTTCTATATATAAAGATGTTTGTCTTCATCTGACTGACCGACTGACTGACTGACTGATTGGGGATCAACGCAGAGCCCAAGCCGTAAGAGCTAGGAAGCTGAAATTCTCACTGTAGTTGCCTCATGTGTTGGAGCTGGACGCCAAGATGGGACTTCTGGAAATTCCACCCGCAAATATGAAAAAACCGTGAAAAACGGAACTATGAAGGTTTTGCGTTAACCATCCGATCCGCTTCAAAATCAATTTCAAAGATATTTGTATAGATTTATATCTTGTGGCCTCTTGCGCTGCTTCAAACGATTAAAATGTAGTTTATTAAACTAATTCGAAGCATTTGCTAACACTAAGAACTAGAGATTCAGGTGGATTCTTGTATACTAAAACTAGTTGGCATCAATTGAAGCAGTTTGATATTGGAAAATCTTAAAAGTTAATTACAAATTAGCAATGAAAAAGGAAACAAAAATTTGATACATTTTTTCTGGACAGCAACAATGCTGACATAAATTCAATAATTATTTATTCAAGAGTCTGAAAATTGGGTTTGCCAATATACGAGCAGAACTAGTATATATGATATCTAGAGTCTACAGTCTACAGTCTAGTATCTAGTATCTAGTATCTAGTATCTAGTATCTAGTATCTAGTATCTAGTATCTAGTATCTAGTATCTAGTATCTAGTATCTAGTATCTAGTATCTAGTATCTAGTATCTAGTATCTAGTATCTAGTATCTAGTATCTAGTATCTAGTATCTAGTATCTGGTATCTAGTATCTAGTATCTAGTATCTGGTATCTGGTATCTGCTATCTGCTATCTGCTATCTGGTATCTGGTATTTAGTATCTAGTATCTAGTATCTAGTATCTAGTATCTAGTATCTAGTATCTAGTATCTAGTATCTAGTATCTAGTATCTAGTATCTAGTATCTAGTATCTAGTATCTAGTATCTATTATCTAGTATCTAGTATCTAGTATCTAGTATCTACAATCTACTATCTACTATCTACTATCTACTATCTACTATCTAGTATTTAGTATCTAGTATCTAGTATCTAGTATGTAGTATCTAGTATCCTAGGTTCTTGTAACTAGTATCTAGTATCTAGTATTTACACATCTAGTATATGTTACATTTCAAGAAAATATCACTTATAAAAATATTTTTACTTTACATAAATATGTCCCATTAAATAATAAAGAACGTAAATCTAATCTAACCTCTGTAGTATCTAAGTTCGGCATACCCAAACTATCTGATCTGAGTATCTATTAAGGCCAGAATCAACAAATTTGGTAGACAAGCCGTCTTTTCTATTACGAAAAGCACGTTCATTTAAGCTATGCAAAAACTTGTACAATGCGCTCGATAAAGTTATAAAAACAAAAAGCAATTAATATAAGTCGAAAATTCCAAGCTGGAACCTTAATATTTACCTTGCATATTATTGAGCGGCATATTAAATAATGCCCACAATTGCTTAAGAAATTTTACAGGGCATGTGCTAGTCAGGCGCGCTCACAAAGTGCAGCACACTTGTTATTTTTGCATTGGGTAAACATAATGTATGCAGCGAATGCGAAAACTCACAAACCCAAAAACCTAAAGATGAGATACAACATCATCATCAATATAGAGTTTTGGGGGAATTTTCAAAGTGAAAAGAGCTGGAAGAGAGGAGGGAGGAGGAGGGCGGGGGGGAGTAGTTACCTCTCTGGTGGCGGTCGCATTGGGCGACATACGACAAAACTGGTGCAAAATCGAACGCTCTTTGTGTGAACTTCATAAAATGTTTGACAACGAACGAAACCGAAAGAAACCCAACATATATATGTATATATATATATGGCGTGTGTATATATGGATATGGGTATATGTATGCAGAATCGAGGCAAACAAATGCGAAGGCCCTGCAGCGTGGAGTACTCTCTTTACATGCACAACGCCGAGGAGGAGACACGCTGCGGTATCCGAATAAATTTATGATTTATTAAGGATGCTCTGATTACAACACGCCATTGACTGAGAGATCTTGGCTTGGCTTGGCTTGGCTGCTCGACTGCTCGGCTGCTTGGGGACCTGAAATGCAGCCTGACTGATGTCTCGTAAATAACAGTCGCATAAACAACAACAAGAAGAAGCAGACGACGGCTAAGAAGCAGCAGCAGCGGCAGCAACAAGTGAGTTATTTGTTTAACATGAACAGCGAACACGTTTTTGACTCACAAATGTTGACAAAGAATAATGTAATTTATGTTCAGGCAAGCTACGCTGACATTTTTTATTTTTTGTCATTTTTTGTCATTTTTTTTTTTTTGTGCGCTGTCAAGATTTCACCCAAAGCCCATAGAGGGGTCTGTGTGTGCGAGAGAGGGTGACGGAGAGGGTGACGGAGAGGGAGAGGGACGGAGAGGCATGTGTCAACTAGCTCAACCGCATTGCAATTACAGATATTTGCACCGATAACAGCCGCCGAAAAGATGGGAACACGCCCTCGAGACGGCAAGATCTTAGTCTTGTTTCCGAATTTTCACAAGTTTTTCTAGCGAACGAACAAGTGCATTTTCCGAGCCAAGAATCCACTTGTCGTACTTGTGCTCGTAAATTAGGCGCTTAGCGTCTTATTTTTCTTCGTCTTCCCTGCTCTTCTTTTGTTACAATTTTCCACATTTTCCATTAACTGCCAATAGACAATCAAAAAACGCCCACGAGTTGGCCCAAAAAGAACAAAACAGATATATATATATAAAAATAATAATAAGGCAGAAAAAGGGAATTGTATGGGACAATTGCGTGTTGCATGCATTGCGTGCAGGGGGAATTCGTAAATTCGTAGTTAGGATGCGTTTTCCAACATTTGGGACACCATAACCATTTTTTTTTTTTTTTTTTTTATTGGTTTTTCTTAGCTAAGCTGATTAGCACTGCACTCGCTGTGTGTAAAGTGTATTCCAGCTGAAATGTTAATAACAGTTGCACACATATGGGCTCATTTAGGGGCACAGCAAATGGGGCAAGTGATGGGTGCCGCTTGGCCGAGTCGCTCGAGAATGTGTGTGTGCTCGCATGAAGTGAATGAAGTGAGCGTAGCGAAGTGCAATTAAATTACTTAACAATTTTTGAGAGGATTAGCAGAGGATCGCACATAAGTAATTGGATTGCTCCAAGTGCGTTTTTATTGAGCACAATTTTTATCAATCTGTGACAATTATGAAGGTCAGACATGGTGGGCATTAATAGCTATTGATGCCCGTTCAGCCCTTGAGAGCGCTAAGAAGGTGAAGAACAAGAAAAGTGGAAATCGACTTCAAAGAGCCGAGGCTCGTTTCTAGCCAAAGACTTGTGTCCAAACTGTTTTTTCTTCCAGATAGGATACTTGTTTCACACTTTTCGGAAATTCACTCCTCTGGGTGGAATGCATAGTTATTAAATACATGCTTCAAACTTTTTGCTTATAGATCTTTGTGAAAGTGCATTATAGACGAATATTATCCACTACGGACTTTCCACTGCCTCGAGTGGAAAATAGGTGAAAGCTTTCTTTTTCATACGATCGGTGGAATTCAGAGTTAATCAATACGTACTTCAGAATCTATTTCGAATATGCAAAACGGGCAAAGAACTGTTCACAGATCATTGTGAAAATGCATTCTATACAAAGAGCATATACTACGGATAATCCACTGCATCAGGTGGAAAATTGGCGAATGTTTCGTTTTCGTTCGATCGTTGGAGTAAGGAGTTAATAAATGCGTACTTCAAATTCCACCCCAAATTACAGATCTTTGTGGAAGTTCATTCTATGCGAATATTATTATTTAAAAAAAAGTAAATATTACAAAGTTAGGTAAATAAGCATTCACATATTTATTCAAGGGAAGCTGCAGTTCCCCCTGCTTCTCTGATCCCAAATGAGAAATGATATTCTGAGAGCTTAAATTCTCGCCTCTTGACAACATTTTTGGGGGGCTTAATTACCGAAAGGAACGAGACAAATGTCTCAATTTGCTTGGGGCACTTTCTCTTGCGCCTCTTTTTTGCCAAACAATTTGGGCCAGCGAAATTATTTAAATTAATTACGCAAAGTTCGCAACGAATTCATCAAAAAGAGGCTACTCTCAAATTATTTTATTTTATTTTCAGCTTTTGCTTTTGTTGTCCCTTTAATTGTGGACTTCTTGGGTGGATGCGCAACAAGAGCATAGCTTCATTTTAAAATGCCGCATTTTAAATACCCTTTGTAAAATCAACTTTAGTTGAGTGCAAAATAATCGATGATATAGTAGTTGGATCTTGTGCGAAATCAGTTTTTTCAGCATATATATTAAAGCAAAGTAGATCAAGTTTTCCGACTTACCCTTAACTAAAGTTAGGTTAGAATGATATAAATTATTTCTCGGACTCGATTCCTGCTAAAATTGCCGATTTATATTAAATATATAAAGGCTATTTGTATATATTTACCCGTGCTCATTTCCACTTTAATGTTACAGGACTTGTGAACATTTCTCGGATATCCTTTTGGAAAATTCAAGAATTGCAACTTTCTTCAATTGTGTTAATCTATGTGATGAAGAGAACCGATCTATTTGGTTTTATTTTACATTTATCTCCAAGCAAAGGCATTTAGTTTCATCAAGTTAGCTTCACTGAGAGTCCAGTTGCTATAGAAAGAAATAGATAGAATCCACATATCAATATTTTTAGGGCTTTAGTCTGTCATATCTCTTGCAGTGTATTTTGATGCTTTGCAATGCGACATGCACTTTCACATAAACATGAACGCGAGCAAAAAGAGAAGTTGATTCTATAAGGGCATCCTCGAGGGAAGTTCGCATATAGAGGAGGGTCTCAGCGAAACGAATCTTTGCAGAGTTCTGCAATTTTAATGCATCATTTTTTATGGGCTTCCCCGGATCCCATTCTATGTTATAATAAGGTCTAAAGAACAAATTGAAAGCTAAGCTAGAGACTCTTTAGCTCAAGCTGATAGCTGATACTGAAACTGAGTTTGAATACGACGAGAAATTGTAATATTTTTAAATTCTCTAGAACACTCAAACATTAAATAATGCTTGAATATAAACTAGTTTAAAAGGTGATAAAAGAGCTAGAGTTAAGTTGAAAATACGAAAGCAGGAGTTAAGATTAATACGCCGGATGCTGGAGTTAAGTAAAATACACAGACTTTAAGAAGAAGAAAATTGGATTTGTTTCTGTGAAGATTCTTATGCTAACTTTTTGTGGGAATTCGTTGTGAATAGCCTGTTGCCTTATTTGAAGCCTCTTAAAGCCCGCTTTAAGCATTAGATTAACATTAATTTATTTAAAAGTAGTTTTTATTATGCACAAGTATGAATTGCCTTTGGAAATGCTCTCTAATATTGGATATTATATTAGAGAGCATTTCCAAAGGTTTTTATGTTCAAAGACTTGATAAATGTCTGAGATCTGAAAACAATTTAATATGAATTTGAATTACGTGTATTGTCGACTCTGATTAATGTTAAAAGTGAAAGTAAACAACAAGATTCTGAGCAGCACTCGAAAGCAGGCTGAGAGCAAGATCCGAGTAAGATCTCTTAGAACCGAACCTAAAACCAATTAAAGGTGAATCTTACTTCTTTTTGGTAACAGTATTTGCTGACTTTGGTCAATATCAAAATGTTAAAGTAAAGAACAATTTAAGACAAGATCCTGAGCTATTTTCAAGGCAGACTGAGAGCAGGCTAAGAACGTTGAAGCCCAATCTGAAACCAAATGAAGACGAATCTTACTTCTGTTTGGACTTTGATGGATATCAAAATATGAAAGTAAAGAACATTTTAAGACAAGATCCTGAGCTATTTCGAAGGCAGGCTGAGAGTGTTGCATAGTTAATGCAAATTCTGTGTGGCATCTTTAGACGCTCGCTTCGCAGAGCTCGCGAGCTGGTTGTTTGGCTGCGTGTTGAATTCGTTGCATTTAAACTTTGGTTTTTAGGATTTTATAATGAAATTTACAATATTTAATTGCCACGAACTGAGTGCGGCATTGCCCCCTGGGGCGCATTCCACAAACGAACCAAAGAACATGAAAATTCAAGAGCACAAGAAACAGAAGCCTAGAAAATGATGTATGTGCCTATATGTGAGTGCGTGTGCGAGTCATTATTTCATCAGCAAATGCATAAGAGGAGCTATTCGCTATATTTATATTTATATATATATACATATATGCGTGACTGGCCCAATTAGTTGGCATCGCTCTCGCAGTTGCTGGCGAACTGTCGTAATTCACTTTTGATTTCATATGCATTTCATCAAATTGCCGCTGCGCACGCGCATGCCAAAAAGATCGCCTCGAGTTGGCTGGACAGTCAGTGCCAGACCTTGGTTTGATTTGAAAATTACTCGACAAAAAATGAAATAAAATAAAATAAAATAAAATAAAATAAAATAAACTGAAATGAAGCTGCAGAAAACTGCAATATTGACAAACTGAGCCAATGCCGAAATGATAAACTGTTAAACTGGTTGCCGCCGATCTGAGCCAACAATTTAATGTAGTCCACCACACAGGAATCCAAATTCGAATCTGAATCTGAATCTCGATCCACAAGAGTCACAGCTAAAAACTCAAAACTCAAATTGTAGCTGCCGCCTCTTTCCCTCCTCTCCCACCACCGCCTGGCTGGCTGCCCCTCGCACTACCTCTAGACCCATTAAGCTTTTGCCATTCTCCAGTCGGTTGTCATTGCCGCGCGTCGCCCATTTGAAGTGAGCCGCGGCGCACGCTCGAGTCCAGCGCCAAAATTGCAATCTTTTTGAAATTTATGATGAACAAGTATGAAGTGGCTCGAGTCAATGTTTGCTCAACGAGCGTGTACCCTGTAATCAAGCTAGCAAAAACCAATCTCAGTCTGTCCTCATCTAAATGTAGTCTCAGGCATTCGCATATTTCTTACTGTCATATATACATACATATACATATTATCCCAATTTCCAATATTTGTTTAAATATAAGTCGCCACTTAAGTTTACACAAAATTAGCTGGCTGTAGTTCTTATAGTTCCTGAGTTTATATAGTGAGAAAATAATAAAGGCTTGTAATAATATATATCTGAATCTCTGCCAGTTCCAGACTCTAGCTCTTATTAGGAAACCTTACCTTACACGAAACCCTGCTTCGTATCTAACTCTTTACCATTTTTGATAATCGCACAAAAAATTTACAGACTTCTCAAAAAACTTCATCTTCCTATCAACTATGCGTTTGTGCTTATGTGTATACCAATTTTCTCAACTCCAGCTTGTATAGTTCCCGAGTTCATATAGTTAGTTTTGGCTAGATCTGGCAGCTGAAGCAAGCTACCCGTTTTGAGTGTAGGGCATTGTTGCAGGGTATAAAAAATGAACACTGTCGCTTTTTTAAACATTTTAATTATACACAGCAAGTCGTCGCAGCAAGTCGCCGGGTTTCAGAGATTTCCTCAGACGATACAAACAAACGGCGCCCCGTTTCCATTCGGAACCGGTAGCCAGAGATCTTGGGCAACAGCTGGGCTACAATATGTGCATATATTGTATATTTTGTTTTTATTTTTCATTTTTTCGGTGGGGTAATTAATAAATTCGCAATGCTGCCACAGGATATTTGCATAAGAAATGATGGCAATGAAATGTTATGACCGCACCGCGCCGTATGACAGACGATGACGACGACGACGACGACGACGACGACGGCGACGACGGCGACGACGGCGACGATGCTGGCCAATGGAACTGGCACTGGAACGGGAACGGAAACGGGAACGGGAACGGGAACTGCAACTGGAACCGATCAACTGTCTTGCCATGGAACGGAACAAGGTCAGAGGCCAGCGATGTGGTTGCTGTCGGTGTTTAGCGCTTTGAAGGCGCTTCCGCTGAAGACGGATCCTTTGAAGGTTCCGTTGCATAAGATTTGAAATCAAATTCCGATTCGGATATCTGCAGCCGCAGCTCCAGTTCCAGCTGTGGTCGGCCAGTGTGTGACATTTATGCATATAATTTTCCGCCGGCGGGTGACAAAAATCCAAACAAATGAACCATGGGCCAATATATATCGAATACGGCTTGAAAACACAACAGGAAAAAACATAATACAGGGCGCAGCGTGTGGTGAATGTCCGAGAAACCGATTCGGACAAAACACAAAACACAAGAATAATACACCCACACACACACGCACACATCCAGAGAGAGAGAGTGAGCCCAGCAGCCTTTGGCAGGATCAGCAGTTTAGGACGTGCTGCAGTGCACGTGTCCTGGGCCTCCAGGTTTGGAAACTCTCTGAAAAGCTAAGAGCACAATGGGCATTGCCTAAACTGGAATCAGGCCCATTGTGCATTGTGACAAACTGACAATTGACAATGATGATAATGAAAAGTAGTCAACGTAAATTGCATAAGGATCGTCCTCTTGGTTCATTCTTTCCATTATTCTATCCCTACACCAACCACCTCCAGCTCTTTGGGTTCTTTGGCTCGGACTTTGGCAAATTGTAAGGCGTTTGTAAGGCGTTTGTAAGCCTCTTCAGAGGTTGCGCCCAAAATGTGTTTCTAATTGACCCGGGCTACCATCGAGCTACTCTCTCCATCTCACTCTCTCTCTGTCGTTCTCTGTCTGCCTGGGTTGTCACGCGGCAGGCGCAGAAGCCGCACTCCTGTCAGCAAGGGGAACTCTGGCAAAAAAAAAAAATAGAACCTTTCAACTTTGGCGCGCATCTTACACAGAAGTCAGTGGGTCGCCCCTCAAACACAATAGTCATTTGGCAATGCGGCTGAGTTGGCCTAATGAACGTTCCAAATGGGTGCCGGCTTCAGGGGAAAAAACTATAAAGTGATCCACTTGATGTCCAGAGAATAGACTCTGAACAATGTTCCAGTTGGGGTAACCATTAGTTTTATTTTGATGACTTTTCAGAAGAGTTTAGCTACGTAATAGTTATTTCCAGAATTCATTCCCCCATTATTATATATATATATACATGAGTTCTGACCATGAATAATGTTGCCAAATTGATTAAGAGGCAAAGCCATGAACAAAGAGCCAAACCTCGTGAAAATCGGCTGAGATTTGACCGAGCTATCAGGATGGGAAATTTTATCCTATGTCTATATGGGATATTTGAGGGAACCATTTCTACATGCATTTTGACCAAAAATAATGTTCCCAGATTTAGATGCCAAATGGATTCAGAAGCCAAGCCATGAACAAAGAGCCAAACCTCGTGAGAATCGAATGAGATTTGGCCGAGTTATGGGAGTGGGAAATTTTGACCTATGTATGTCTATATAAGATATTTGACGGTACCATTTTCACCCTGCCGGTTACAATAATAGCACACTTTGCTATCATTTCTAAGATTGCAAGGCACTTTCC